ATATTTGTGGATATCATGTAATTCGATACCACACCATTATATCTCATTTCTCAGGATCCATAACTTAACAAAATTTGGACAGAGTCTCCTTTATACGAGGAACTCTACCCAAAACGCAACCTGTACAATATTGACCACACCGGGTCTATCCATCTATTCACCATTGTATAGTCTCGAATACTATCATAATCATTATCAGTACATACATTTATTCGTAAGAGAATAAATGTCCCAAAAGAGTCCCCCATATACATGCCTTTGTAAATATAAACAAATATTTGTTACAAAAATTATACAAGGCCAAAAGTAAATATAAACAAGAGACTACAATGTCAAAATAAAAGCCACAGACCGGCTCTGTCGTCAAAGCGGGCCCATGGCCTCGCCTTCGGTGAACGCTTGTGCGATACCTGAAAAATGTTCCCATAAAGGGTGAGTCAACGCTTAATAGGGTAACTCCTATAGAGAATATCTCTCAACCTAAATGCATATGGAATGTCACATGCAACAATCATTTGATACATTCATTCAAATATGTCTATTATGATTGAATGTTATAAATCATGTCATGCCATGAGATGAGACTCACGTAAGCAATACCAACCCCGAGCCCCATCCTAAGCTCCCATAATACATGCAATGTCATGCGTATGTATCCGGGCATTCTAAGCCCCCATCATTAGTGTTATGTACACTCAATGACTAATTAATTCATTTTCTTGTGTCTTTGTAGGGAGGTGATTTATGGTATTACACCAATGGGACACCAACCATCAACGGGTCTTCAGGACATCCCACCTGCGGCTCCGTTTTCGCCGTTACATTTTTCTGGAATTTCACCGCCGAAAAGTGTATAAACCAAGTAAGCGGGTCTTGCACCCGAGGGAGAATCTAGCCCTTCTTGCTATCCCCAACACATTTATCCATTTAATTTTTCGTGCGACTCAGTCGAACCTTGGTGCGACTTTTTCGAGCCCACGATCAACCACCTATGCGGTGATTGATTTCATATCATGCATACACTCCCACCCATGTCAATGCCCATGAATATAGTGCAACCCATGCATAATGAAATACAATGTCTATTATATAATGAACACAATATAATGACATTTTAACACGATCTCAAGCATGTTATGTAAGATAATCAACTCAACTAACATACTTGTATTCACCTAGGCATTTAATCAAACACCTAAAGAGCACATCAATTTACACAACTAGNAATGACATTTTAACACGATCTCAAGCATGTTATGTAAGATAATCAACTCAACTAACATACTTGTATGCACCTAGGCATTTAATCAAACACCTAAAGAGTACATCAATTTACACAACTAGCATGCTATGACTTGCAACATGACAACATATTTATTCATTATATAAACATCAGCACAAGTCCACCAAAATAATCATATGTTAAATAATCATTTAACATATATATTATTTCATAATCACAAAACAAGTTAATAATTTTATTAAACTTGATCTGCCATTAAAATATAAAGCAATGCTAATATACAATTAACATGTTTGAAACCACTAACATTAACTTACACCAAGTTAATCACAATAAAATTTTATTAATCACAAGATTAATTATAAATCCTATATTTGACCCACTAGTCACACTAGTCAAGACCTAACATGTGATATACATTCATAGCCTACCCATTTCATATGTCATATTTTAAGTTGAAATTAAATCTAAATAGGGGAAACCCTACCTCTCGTAGCGTGAGCCCACTTACTAGAACGCCAANCACTAGTCAAGACATAACATGTGATATACATTCATAGCCTACCCATTTCATATGTCATATTTTAAGTTGAAATTAAATCTAAATAGGGGAAACCCTACCTCTCGTAGCATGAGACCACTTACTAGAACGCCAAGGAAGCCCAAATTTAGCTTCCTAAGTTTTAGACCTAGATTATCGGCTTTGATATTCCTTCGGAGAAAAATACGATATTTGGTGTGGTTGCGTAGCTCTCGCTGAGTAGAGCAACTTTAGTTCTTGACCTGAAACGATTAAACAGTTAAATTTTCGTAGATCTGAGAAAGAAGAAAAGAAAAAAAAAATAAGAAAAACTCACTTTTTCTCTCACTCTCTCTGTCTCGCCGGCTGGAGAAGAAAGTGAAAAACTTTTTAAAGTCTTTCACTTTTATATATCTATAGAATAAATTCATTATTTTAAAATTTTACCTTTTTGACCCATACTTTAACAAATAATTATTATTTTACCCCTTTAATTAGGATTTTTAATAATAATAATAATAATTTTNTTTTGACCCATACTTTAACAAATAATTATTATTTTACCCCTTTAATTAGGATTTTTAATAATAATAATAATAATAATAATTTTTTTTTCTTGGGTTTTACAAGAGGTCCTTTTTTATAATATTTTGATAGGTGTTCCAGCTAGAGTGGACTTTAAGCTTTCCTAGTAGTTTGAATTTCTTGATAGGTATTCTAGGTAGAGTGGACTCTAAGCTCTCTTGGTGTTCTTGATCTCCTTTCGGTTGAGGAGTCTTGACTTCTATGAACTTTTTCCCTTATTGGGATAATCATTCAAAGTCCTACCTGTGCTAGGAGTTTGTTTGATCATGCGAATAAGGCTTGCTGAGGGCATGATCTTATCATTATCCCTTGGCTGCCTTAATTTTTCCATAGTATTTAAATGAACTCACTATTTGAACGGGTCTTTGGTAGATAAGGTTCTTAAAAATTTGAGATAAGCCTTTTCATCCTTTTGATTTCCACTGAGTTGGGGAAAGCTGATTATCTGAACTCGTTACTCCTCCAACTTTCATTTCTTGCCAACAAGTCAATCAACGATTATATTTCTAAAGGTAGTGCTAACTAGGACCTTTCCCTTAGTTGAGATTAAATTCTCCCCATCATGGTCTGTCTCTAATGTGTGTGCATGAGCAGCTTCAAAACTTCTTCGATGGCAAATACTAATTGACCAACCCACCATTATCGCAGTCAAGACACAACATTAAACAAAAAGTTTCAAAGTAGAGGGGACATGTAGACCAAACTAGATTTCTGTGTGCACAAAATTCCTAAACTGAAGACAAAATATCCCTAGGCTTTATCATTCTAGTTACAAAAAAACATTGATTATCTAGTTAAGGTTACATTTGACTTATTCAACAACATGACTTGTGCGTCTATACATTATTTAACATCTTATAAATAGATAGCAAACACTCATTTAAACTCACAACATGGAGAAAGTAATTAGCAGCCTAAACAAAATGCCGTCAAATTAAACTGTTGGCAACAACACTCGTTTGTAACATTTTTCAAGGTATAGTCGAGGAGCCACAAAGGCAGAAAGCTTTGTATTGTGTTGGTATGTTAGCACGTCCACTACCATGTAAACATAACATCTCTTCCTAACACATTTTGACAAATAGAATAGGGAAATCATATTCATCTTCTAAGGATGTTTATGCCAAAAGGCACTAATTATATTGAATATTATTGATGAGCGAGAAGACCAATATAGCTTACTGTTTGGACTTAAAATACAAATTTATAAAAACATTTGATGCATGTGCTGTTGTTAAGCCTAGAATCATTAAAGGATTGTCACGTGTTAATATCTGCAGAAAAGACGTGAAACGATTAGCCACAACTTTTGTTTGAAGAAGGAATAACTACCTTAGAGTAACAAAGCCAATCAACAATTGATAAAGGAAAACTGTTGAAGGAAATGGCTATAAAAAGAGAAAAAGAAAGAAGTTGAAGGACAACTC